GAGGAGAGGAGAGGAGAGGAGAGGAGAGAGGGCGAGCAGTCTTTACATTCTATTGTATATGATCGACTCTCTCTTCGCTCAAAAACCTGACCCAATCAGGAGGCTGTGGAAATCCCGCGCCAAGTGAGTGCTACTGCTCTACTTAATGTAATTAACACATCCTTATCCGTTTCATTATAAAGAAGCCACTGTATTTAACAACATATTTCGATGGAGGCCTTCGTTACCAGTTCACAAGAGCTGTTTACACTTAAATTAATGTAAAGGAATGTAAGTAATGGCTGCGTTTTTCAGTGCTATCCTTCGGTAAATTTTAAAAGCGGAAATATCGTAATTACAAATTTTACGAAAAAGCTGTCGGCCGAAACTTACACAGAAAATTTGAATATTATTTGAATAATATTTATAAATCTTTGACTCGTTTCAAAATTGCATTTTCACAAGATATGGAGAGAAGATTACAACTCATATTTTTCCTTCGTCCGCATCTTCTGAAATGAACATACACCTGTCCACGGTTCTCGCACGTACGTCAAAACATCATGTATTCTCACTCAGATGGAAACGTCTAGCGCGAAGTCCTGACTAATAACTCAAACCACATAAATTCTCAGAAATACAACGTTAACACACTTTCATAAATTGCTTGAAATTTAACAACAAACAGTTCTCAAAATTCAAATTATGTTAACTGTCACGCACTCAGCAGCCTTGGAAGAACCTGAAAACAAACTTCGCAACTCACATGACTTGTGTACGTGTTTCGAGTGCCGTTTGGGGCAGGTGGCAAGTGGGGCGCTCTGCCAATTAACAGGCGTGTTTGGAGCCAAAATACAAATATTTGCAGACCCCCGAGAGTTCCACGCGGATGAGATTATGCACACACTCATGCAATGACTCACATGGAATGGACGCTCCAAATATTTTACAACATTTCAAGAATTCAAATTCTCCCTGTCACCAAAGAAAATCAGCGCTCCCCTCTCGCCGCATTTACCTCGAAATTATACCCCGCTGATATCTGATTAATTTTTCTTAAGAGCGCTTGGCAATTGCACGAAAATGATTACTTGATAATATTTGATTGCAGCCAGAAGGTTTAAATATGATCAAAAACAGAGATTTTCTAGTTAACGATCTCTCCTTGGGGAAAAACAAGGATGATGAGGAAAATAACCATTATTTCAGAACCCAACGGAAAATGCTCTGTATCTGCCGTCCAACGTCACTTGAACCACTAATTCTTTTGTACTGATTGATAGTGATTCCAGGTACGTCAACTACTGAGATGATTAGCCCCGTTGTCTTGTGCATGTGTTTTCCTCGAGAAGTGGCGGTGATCTTCCCCCAATGGCTGGCGGGATCCGGCGCCCACCTACCGTCGGCGGGTTTCCCAAACCAGGTATCTCCCATCAGCGGAGTACCGCCCCAGCCGGGACAAGCCCAAATCTCCCGACCGGGCTCCCGGTATGTGGTAATGTAGTGCGTGCTAGTATCAGTGTAAGGGGTGAGGAAACACTAGGAAGAGGAAAGAAATATCGCGCGCGAGCCTTGGCCCCTTTTTAAGGCATTGCTCCGGTATTTGCCTGGTGTTAATCGGAAAAACCAACGAAAACTACCGTTTAGAACAGTCATCTGAATTCGACCTAGCTGACAAGCTAGTGCCGAAAATCCTGCCACTGTCGGGACTCGAACTTACACTGCTCAGAGATACTGCAGTTACATCAGTTGATGCCCTGAGCCACCTCTCCCGGAAAATAATTTGTGAAGGTCGTAGTACTACGCTATTTACGTCCCTGGCGGTGACATATTGCTGAGAGCTCCAAGAACATTAATTGCCACTGGCACCGAACACGTGACGACACCACGTTGAACGATGGTGATGAAGTTGCACGATGGGATCCATTAGTTGTGGAGAGAAACAATCCTCAATAAGAACTTGTATATTCAATCAGATTCAACTATTCCAATATCAGAAAAAATATAATATTAAGAGGAAAAATAACTTCATTCAATTTCGACACGTAGTTTTTAATATTTATTTATGCAAGAGAGTCAAATATTTGATTACATAAAACTGTTTAATCCCTTATTGTATATTCCTAGTTGTAAACAATTTTTATCTCTCATTATCCTCAATTTTAGTAATATAATTTGATAAGAAAGATAATGAACTTCGATAGTCAGCAATATAGATCACTGTTAGGTTGCAGCACGGAGACTGAACACATTCAAGCGCTCCACCAGACTTCATTCATTCAAGCGCCCCGTCAACGATGACTACACCATCCCGACGATGTACAGTACATTCAGCATATCCAGGTTGGAAAGCAAAAATAAAGCGGGTATTTTGGGAGGCAAATCCAATTTCCACGAAGAGTTGTGTCTCTCTTATATAATAATATATGATGTGGCACACATATGGTCAGCCATGTCAGTTGCAAAAAAAGTTCACCATCGCCTTCTTAATTAGGATAAAGGCACCAATAATTGACACATATAAATTTTGGTATATAAAAATCGAAAAATTACTGAACAATTGGCCTTATTTCAAAATCTACCTTTATGGAACAGGTTTTATGAAAAGTAAAAATCTCTATGTTTAATATTTTAGTTGTATGTACACACCGATAAAATTGAAATGTCATTTTTGAAAAATCAGACTTTTCAACGATAAATAGACTGGCACCATTCTCTTAAACGTTCATTACATTATCCAATAACAAAGTTTAATTAAAAACAATGACCCTCTTTTTTTTTTGAAAATGTTCCGGGATTCCAGGTAAAGTTCCCCCCAAAATTAAAATATCAAATTCAAGAGGCTCCGACATCCGCCATATCGATCAGGTAATATAAAGTTTGGAGCAAATCGAATGAACGGTTTAGCCGCTAGCGTTGTTCAAGACGGGCCGACAGAGCCACGGACAAACGTTTTGCCGTCAATTGAGTTTTCGGTATGAAGTACGCACGAAACATGGATTATGGCTACACCATGTGTTGAGATGATTTGTTTCTCAAAATTAAGCAAACAAATTGATCGACATTTTCATTACCAGGGCCATGAAAAAGAGTTTTTCTGCCGAAAATTCGCGTTTTTTCGCGCAGTATTTAACAAAAATTAGAATTCAACAGAATACACACGAAGTTGAGTATAAGTTAATTGACACTCATGGAAATTACTGAAAAAACACATTTTTTGTGGTTAATTGGTGATTTTGTGATTCGTTCGTTGACATGTATCTACCTCGGAAAATTGAAAATTCAAAAATGAACATCGTGTATCAATGCAACACTGTTTCTGCTAATTACTTGAATTATTACAAGTAAAATACTTTACAAATCCCGAATTTCTTAGCCAGAACGTGAAGGTCAGAGCGTCAGTTGTTTCTCTCTGATTTCTCTTTTAATGATGTTCTTGACATTATTACCGCAAAAAGAAAAATCAAGGTCACCACATACTTCAGTCCAGAAATGCAAGAAGTTCCCGCAAAAAAAGTAATGTCTTATATACGTATTATTTACACCTGAAGTGTCTACCACTGATGCACTGTCAACTACTTTCCTGTTTACCGTATAGGTGTTGTGGTGCGTTATTGTTGGCATTTTTCATGAAATAATTATAGACGTTGTCATTGCCAACAATAGTATTTAATACAAGAGCTGCTATAATCACTGTTTACTGTTTACGTAGAGCGTCTATAATTACTGTTTACAGTAGTTGAAAAAATGCTTCTAATGCCATTTTAAACAGAAACACTTCGTTTCTGAACTGAAGTTTCTTAACGATTTCTGTTCTATAACATCAAGAGAGTTGTGCATATAATGGGTTATATCTGAGTATGGATTTAAGTATTGCCGAAGAAAAAACAGAGTTTTTTCTGGTGCAAATGAAAAAAAATGCTAATTTACGATGGGCACATGCAATTGTATGGACGTGAAGTTAACGGACAGATTAGTATTGAGAATTAGGGTGCAAATTACGACAGGTCTATATCTCACACGGCCCCGCGATTGTGTCCCGTCCAATTTTACGCCATCAGAACCTTAGACTCCCAGACGGCCGTCAGAATTGTAGTACAGTTGCTTTTCACGCTAACGATTTTTCGAGTATACAACAGAGCTTCGAGTCACGAAAACACACTTAAAATTGAACATGTTCCGAAAAATGAATGGTTTTGGGACACAATTGGGATTGGGTTTAGGTTAAAAGAACTAGGTGAAAATGCTAAAATAGCAAGTATTTATTGCTGTTTTGAGAAACAAGCTGGCGTTTTTCCCAGCAATGACTTGGTACTTTTGTATGAAGATTTTAGTATATCACAATTGCGAGGTACAAGTAAAAATTGTGATTCTACATCAACTTACCCAACTTTCAATAATTGTAATATTACAATTAGTCTCGTGTGGTAAACGTTTAATTCATTTCAATGTCAAGATGTTATTGTTTAGTTTTGAAACTATTTTATATTAAATCCCTAGGGAGTTGAAGTTGCTTGGAAAGTCTTCAGCGACTTGACTTCTCACTTCCAACTTAGAGGGCCGCTCGCTGCACCTCGGAATCGGAGGCAGCGCGCACCCACCGTCGCCGCCCAGCGCTCGGCCGCGAAGCAGAGCAGCGCCGCGCGCCGCCGCCGCCACGCGCCAGGCGGCGCGCGCAGGGTGGCGGAGCGCCAGGCGCTGGTGGGCGCGCCGGGGCGCTGGCCCGCCGCCCGCGTGCCGTTGTTCTCGCGCGCGATGCGCGCCAGGTTGTCGGCGCACCACTTGTCCACGAGGCCGGCCTCCACCAGGCGCTGCAGCAGGCCGCTCCAGCGCTCGTGCAGCCGCCAGCGCGCGCGCACCGGGAACGCGTAGAAAGCCGGCGACAGCACGCACTCGCGCACCTGCGGCAGCGGCCCGCGCCCAACTCTCCGACGTTCTCTCACGACACACCTCAGGCACTAAACACGCGCCCCCGCTCAAATGCCGTTCATACACGTCTGCCCAAACACGTTCGGGATTAGCGCAGGGATCAACTGCCCCAGGCCCCAGTTTCATTGCCGTTCATAGGCGTCCATTGATGTTTCAGTTCGGGATACGCGAGAGTTTCACTTGGGGCAATAGACCGGTTCATACACGTCCGTTTATACATGTTCGGGATTAGCACGATTCACCCGAGGCAGTAGGTCCGCGCCCCGGCGAAAAATGCCGTTCATGCATGTTCATCCATACACGATTGGAGTTAGCGACAGATTCACTTGAGGCAGCAGACCCGCGCAGCGACTTAAATGCCGTTCATACACGTTCGGGATCACAGTTTCAACGCGGCAAATACCGTTCATTAGGTGTTCAAGGAATTCCCACATAATCGGGATACGCGAGTGTTTATTCAGGGCAGGAGGCTTGGCCTCCGGTTCAAATTCCGACCAGTGGGATTTCAGGTTCCATACACGCTCGGGATACGCGAGACAAGGTAGCAGGTCCGGACCTCGAGAAAAATTCCGTTCATCTGGTGTTCAAGGGATCCATTCACAATGGATTACGCGAATGTTTTACTCGACGCAACACGCCCAGGTCCAAATTTCGTTCATTTGGTGGTGAAAAAGTCAGTGCAGGTTTGGGATACCCTGGTGGAGAGCAGGCCCCCTCTCAGATTCAATTTCCATTCACACACGTCCGTCCATACACGTTCGACATTAGCGACAGATTTCCCTAGAGCAGCAGGCCCGATCGTTCTTTCAAATTCCGCTCATTCACGTCCATTCTTATATGTTCGGTATAAGCGACAAATTCACCTGGACCAGCAGGCCTGGACCCGATTTAAATTTTCAATTATTAAGGAACTCATATGTGTCTTTTCAGAAAACGTGAGAATTTTACCAGAGGCAGCACGCTCGAACACCATTTTAGTTTCCTTTAATTAAGGAGCCACTACTCACCAAATGTACCTGCAGGACGCACGGCCTTCATCTACACGCTTACGACTCGTGAATGTGTTAACAAGGGTATGGCGAGAATTTTTCCCAGTAAGCTCGGTTCCACAACTACAAACAGCTCATTTTGATTGAGCTGATTTTGGTACAGCCTGATCATCTCAAAATCTTGATCTCAATTGAAGCATAATTTCATGTGAACGGGTATTGTGCCCACCTTGTGGAAGAGGGGCGCCCCGCCTGCTGAGGCGCTGGGGTAGCTGCGGAAGATGTCGAGCCCGGTCTCCGTGGAGAGGACGGCGGCGGGGGCGGCGCCGGAGGCGGCGGCGCTGATGACCTGGCGCCACTGCGGCTGCCCCAGAGACCGCACCTACCACACACCGCACAATGAAAGCCGAAGACGCGGTGGGATGGTGGCTTTTCTTCAAAATATGTGGGCATTTTCGTAAATACTATTGTTGGCAAATAAAGACGCATTCAAACACTGCAAGTATTGTCAGTTTGCTTTCATTCCAATTTGTATTGAAAGACTTCACATACATTTAATTGCAACTACTGTATAGAGAAACCTACTGAAATGTTTAAAAGGCCACTGTCATTAAGGGACATTTTTGCGTGAAACCAATTGATTCATTCATAAGAGAATTTCCAGAATTTATTTATGTTTTTGTCCAAATGAAACACCATTTTGAATGATATTTAAATGAAATAATTTTACAAAACGGTTACAATTTTTTTATGCATTACAATACATTAAACATAAGTTATTATTTATTAAGTACTTTTAACTTTGTACAATATGTTAAGAGACATATGAGGAAATTCCATTAATCCTGTTAGAGAATTATAAAATAGTCCGCGTTCAATCTTAAATATAAGTGTTTAATTTTATTCTATTGACGCCCTGTAATGCACGTTTCCTCTACAACGGAGAAAAAAACGATAATAGAGATATTCGAGAATGAACAAACAAAAGTGAATCAAATGAAAACGAAATAGTGCCCAGGAAATGAAATGTTTAATTAAGCATCATGCCCATTCTTGGAGGCTCATGTCCTTTTTGCTTCAATATGTGTAGGATACATAGAACTACGGCTGTGCCCTGAATCAATTTCGTGTCGCTGACATCTTGGTATGACTGGAAGTGATGACCTCGCAGATGATGTGTAGGGAACCAAAGACGTGAAAGTCGCACAATTACAACTCAGGCCTGCGGGGATGTTCGAACACCCGAACTATGCCGAGGTGATCTAGGTTGCGAAGCATTGTCATGCGGGAGGACCGCTCCAGAAACGGGAGAGTGGGTTCTTTCGATCTGATTGCATTGACCAAATGTTTCAAAGCAGTGCAGTAACGAGCAGTATTGATTATTGTGCCAGGTGGGAGGAAATCAATTACAAGCGGATCTTGATGGTCGAAAAAAAGGTCTCCATCACCTCTGCATCACACTATGCCAACCTACTTTTCTGGGGTAGTGGGGAGCCTTGGTATTTCCATTCCTGGCCTAATCCTTTGCTTTCTGAATGGAAACTATTCAAGGCCTGCCACAAGCGTCAACAAGCGAATGGCCCCTTACGAGTACGTAAAGGACATTGCAAAGGCAATCTCACCAGGAAGCCCTTCTGAGCGTTTGTGACACTATCAAAACTTCTTCATAATGCTCAATTTCGAACAAGGTACATTTCGATGTGCACAACTCAGAGTATTCCTATTTCTCATGATCCTTTTTAACAGAATAAAAAAAAATAGACAGCCATAAGTAAACGCGGTTATTTTACAAGCATGCACAATTGCTCAAATTTAAATTTTTAGCACTAATGCTGAAAGTGATACGATGCTCAAACCTTTAGATAAATATCTGAATGAAACAACTAAAAAAACAAAATAGTTTCGTTTGACCGCGTCAGCTACTTCTGACCACACGATATCAACATGACAAATTAAGTTATTTGTTTAGATGAATTAAAATGAGATGAAAATCAGTAAGACTGTCTAAAAAAGTAGTATATGACACACGTGGTAAAAGTGATTTTATTTTACGACACTCGCCCTATCGTCTTCGTGTCGTAAAGTTTCCTCCTTGCAAAATAAAATACCATTTTACCACTCGTATCAAAAGTAGTTATTCCGCCAGCTGCAGCAAACAGCGGTTGTTGGCCATGGTCGCTTATGTAAGCAGTCTCATTCATTTGTCCTATGGTTAATACTTTTGACCAACATTATTTTCGTTGAATAAAGAACAGGTGCTTGCGGGTGACTGACATTCAGATGAGTTACAAAGTATTCTCAGGCATTTACACAGCAAAACATTTATTCCGTGAATATTATGTTTTATAATAATATCATTGATTTAAATTCTACAAACAAGTCGTTATTTTATTTGAAATCACAAAAGAAAGATAGCGAGAAAAAGTAATTTATGGTATTTATATTACTTTTTTCTGGAAAAGAATAAGAAATAAAAACCTTCGAATATCCGGTAAATCTTATACAAAGGCTTCAAACTGTTTCAAATAAAATTGAAAATACTAAGATTTCAATTTTAGATAGGTGCCGAACGATTCGGTTCGTTTTTGGTTTTGATATTCTTATCTACGTATTTATTCAAACATGTTTTTTATTTACTATTTTGTTTGAACTATTTAAATGTGTCAAACAGTTCGTTTTTCAAAGTACGTTCAGTTAATACGTAAGTAGTTTTAATTTGTTCAGTTTCTACATGAAATCTCGGGCGAATTTTTCAATTAAAAAAAATTGTATTTCCCTTTTGTAGCTTCCGACAAAACCAAAAGGAAATATATTGTCTTTTTAGATTATTTTAAAAATGCTCGAAAAGTCAATGTTGTTCACAATGAGTCTCTTGTCAAAATATTAACCCAAGTAACAAGTTACACCTGACGATGAAGGTTGTTCAAAAACCGAAACCGATGCATTTAGCAAAAATATTTAATAAAGAAAAGCATTTTGGCCTCTATTAGAATGGTTTTAGTTGTTGCCTTTTCGGTTTTATCCAATGTTTTGTAAATTATGTGTCGAATGGAATGGGGAATCTTCGTGCCCGTGGGGAAGCAAGCGTCCCAATCACGCTTTAGTTTTATTCCAGGAGGCATTGGACTCGCCACAGGCTGTCACATTGGGCATCGTGGATCTTATCGTCACCCCTCTCGGGTCAGGCTAGCAGCCCAGAGGAACACCTTCTCAATTAACCTTTTATGAATCGATTATTGTTCAATTATTTGGTCATATATAACTATCTTTGCTCTTAAAGGTTCAAGTCCTTTAAATGCCATCACTAGATAGATGGATATCAGAGAAGAACTAAATATTGAGCCGGTTATAGATACCATAAGAGATGGCATGAACAATTCTGAGACGGAACAGACCAAGAGGTCTAATCCTTGCTGTCGATGATGATGATGATGCTGATGAATCGATTATCGCTTTTTTCCCTAAACACACCGAAATGAAATAACGTGTGCTATTCCGAACCTTGCGCGCCAGCGCGTAGGCCACCGGGTCCTCCTCTCGGCCGATGTTGGCGATGGCCTCCGCCGTCACCTTGGTGGAGTAGACGACGTCGTAGAGCGCGTTCACCTGCGCCAGCGTGTCCACCTGCGCCTCGTGGTCCGGCGCCACCAGCGCCCCCACCAGCGCCCCGCTGAACGCGTTCATCACCACGAAGCTGAACACGCTCAGCCACACCATCAGCCGGCGCTCAGCGGTTGCGAAGGCGCCTGCCATTACACCATAACGATACGAGTATTAATACCGGTGTTTCCCACGCACTGGCATTTCTTTGAACTACAACTACAAACTACATTCCTTACGAAATTAAATTGTTTGAATATTTTGTTATAAGTTGCCAAAGTTTACGAGATTAATATAATATATAAGTAATTCAGATTCTCAGGGGGCCTGGACGGGTGCGGGGTTAGTTTACTGGCCTCTGAGCCCCCAGGGCGCCGGCTCGATCCCGGCGAGGTGGCCGGATTTTCGAAGGGCGGGGAAATCCACTCAAGCCATATCACTCTTGTGGCATGTAAAAGAACACTGGCAGATGCCGGTAAAGTTAAATCCCACCGACAACATCCCACGCCATCGAGATTTCGCTTTCCCTCAGACAGTTTGGATACAATAACTGAGACATCTGGCGGAGAAAGTGAGAGTCGAAGACCAGGCGCCTTATGGCCTGCTTATTAAGGCCCTCAAACCCGTGTCGGAGGTAGGTTTCTTAAGAAGCCTGGGTCGACTCAGGGAAGGCAACGGGAACCACTCTGAGTATATCCACCCAAAGAATTCATCACGGGTCACCTAACTTCCGTCTACGGAAGATAGGCCCAACGAAGAATTCAGGTTCTTGTACTACAATTCATTCGGTCCGACCCTGTGACGAAGGGCCAGTTGCAAGTGTGCCCACTATGCGGACAGCAGGGTTGAGGGTTAGAATTCAGCCAAAGGCAAGGATGTTTCGATTGATTCATTTACATTTCGAAACATATTTGGAAAATATAGATGTTGTGGTGCGTTATCGTTGGCATTTCTAATAAAATAATTATATGAGTCGTCATTGCCAACAATATTGTTGTATAATATTGTTAGCATTAACGACGCATATAATTATTTTATATTTGGAAAAATATATTATTAAAATCGCTGTCTTTCTTACTATGTGATTGTCAAAAATTTAATGGGATCGTATACTAGGTTTTCTGTGATGTTTGTGGCATGATACACATTCTGAGTCACTCCATTATCTCCAAACCTTAATACAATTAAGATTCTTTGGTCTTTCTGATAATTACGTGAAGAGATCTTGTGCGCTCAGAGGGACGTACATCCCTAATGCCGTAAAATATCCCGATACGTCCAAAATGGTGTTCTGGTGAGGTCGTGTTTTCACGGAGGGGGCTTGCTTCCCTTTTTGTTTTGTGTGGCACTATCAAAGCTCAGGACTACGTTGATGTTGTAAACACCATGCTTCCCGCTGTTGAAGAGCAATTCGGGGGTTGCGATTGCATCTTTCAACATGATCGATTCATACTGCACGGCCTGTGGCGAAGTGGTTACACGACAATAGCATCCTTGTAATGGGTCTGCACAGAGTCTGACTTGAATCCTATCGAACACCTTTAGGATTTTCTAGAACGTCGACATCGTGCCAGGCCTCACCGACGTACATCTATACCTCTCCTTAGTGCAGCACTCCACAAAAGATAGGCTGATTGAAAGTATGTCTGCGAAAATGGAAGCTGTTATCAAGGATAAGGGTGGGCTAACACCCTATTAAATTATCGATAGAGGGTGCCACGAACTGATAAGTCCTTCTTTTTCGGTCACATATCCGGATACTTTTGTTCACATTTTATATATATGACTAAGATGGCTACCTGGGCTTGAGGTTCGGGAAGGAATATGGGTTTCTCACAGGATAAATCGACTCAAGGAGCGGTCGTAGAATCCATGAGATAAAAGAGGTAAGATGCCCTTCAGGCGCCTAGAGGATGTCGGCGAACCTAAAGAAGTCCCAAATATACATGGAGATAATAATAATCATAATAATAGTAATAATGGTAATGATATTATTATTAAAGCATGGAAAATATAAATGTAAAAAGATTTGATTTCAATACAAAGTGACTCTTCTGACCCACTCTATTGATTCATCTGGATACATGGGAAATGATTAAATCTCTTATTTTGAAATGGAGTGCATTAAAGCATTCACTCATATCCAATTTAGTAATATCTAATCGCAGGTTTCAAAACCCATTAGTGGCCGTTTTCATCGCATTATCCTTGTAGTATTCTGAGCGATCAGGGTTCCTATAGGAAACCTGACATGATGCGAGAAGTTAACAAAAAGGCTTTAGTGATTAATACCAACTAACGTATTTAATACACGACGTAAACAGATGACCATTTCTTTCAGGTCATAATGGCGAATGCATCAATTTGACTCATCTCTGGTTATAATATATGTTGATGAATAACATCTAAATTTCGCCTCTCGACTACCTTTTTTATCTCCTGGGGCATTCCTGAGGAAAGTCTTATACATCGACATAGCATGTATTCGATATATACTGTATTGCGACTTTTTGTGCAGTGCAACTTGAATGCACCGCTGTTTTGAAACTGCCTCTCCCACCTGTGATGAAGGTCCGCGCCACCTCCAGCGCGGCGCGCTGCGGGGGGGCTCGGAAGGCGACAGCCAGGGCGGCCCAGAAGAGCAGGAGGACGAGCGCGGCCAGCGCGCAGATGTGCACCGAGAACGACGGCAGTGCCATGTGCGCCGAATGCCAGTTCCTCCGGACCATGACGCACAGGTTCTCCTGCCTGTGCGGGTACAGGAAGCTCACCACCCTCCCCAGGGCGATCTCCGGGTACCTGGCAGTGCAAAAGTGGTAGAGGGCACAAGTAAAGTACGCGCTTAGAGCCCCTGTGATTAGGGGGCTCGAATTTCTTTAAAAACAAAACTTTACGTTACCGTCAAATGATACCAGTATATATATATATATATATATATATATATATATATATATATATATATATATGTGTGTGTGTGTGTGTGTGTGTGTGTGTGTGTGTGTGTGTGTGTGGAGGGCAAGCTTACGTTAGAGGCATTGATACACTCTACAGACTCCCATCCTCCTACGACGAATCTCGTTCAATCAACAGTCGTATAACAAATCCATTCCGGTACGCGGAGAACACCGATGGGGAGAGGATTAACGATGGACTCGAGAATAAACTGCAATGTATATGAAGGACAATTGTACGAGTACATTCTGGGTGTCCATTTTATCGTTTGCCGAAGATTCGAGGCGCGTCGCCTGAGAAGCCGAGTGCTCGCTAGCCCAGCGAAGCGATGACTCACTACCTGTGCTGAGATATGGGGACTATCGCTGCTCTTAAATTACCTAAAAGAAGATGCCGAAAAAGGTGTCATTCGTCTCAAATGCTTTCTTTGCACCTCCGAATCATATTCTGATATACCCATTAAAGTAAGTCTCGAGGAATTGCTGCGATTTTCTATTCAATAGAGCGCCGGAGCTCTTCCTGCGCATGCGGGGACACCTTATCTGTTAAGTACCTCTAAAGAAACTTAACTAAGGGAGAATCAGGTGATCTATAAGGTCATAACCCACGATTCGAACGTAGCTATTAACAGATTTAAAAAGTTCATGTATCGAACAGCAGTGTGATCAGTTGCCAAACCCTGTTGAAAGTTGAAAGAGCTTTTTTACTGGTGTCAATTGTTCGAAGAATAAAGCACATATTTGACTTATGACATATTACATCAACAGTTACGGTAATATTAAAAAAAAGGTCCTATAATGCACTCAACGCACGCCACACTCCGATCTTTACGTCATGAAGCAGCTCTTCGTGTAGCAGATGAGGGTTGTATGTTCTCCAATAGCGGTTGTTTTGGCTATTGTATCTACTCAGATAAATCCACGCTTCATCAGAAAAGAGAATCCAAATATATTCCGGAGGCGCCCAGAATGCACTCGAGCGGAAGTACACCGCCTTCAGCATCGTTGAGCCACTTTCAGCGACGCAGCGTCAGTTGCCGCATGTCAGCTCGGGAGTTTAATCAGCGCTTCGCTGGGTGAGCAGCCCCCCACTGCCCCCGCTCGCGCGACGCCTTCCGATTAAATGTACCCGGTATATAAGAACTAATAACATGTGGTATTTTGCAATACAGAATAATTAATTTCTGTCAGTTTGCGTTAAAATAGTTGTAGTTTTGGAGGAATAGCAAAACCGTAAACATTTTAAACATTATACATGTTTGCGGTCCTCTCTGCGGAAACACAATGTCCTTTTTTTGAACAACTATATCAACATTTTCAGTGTTCTCCAATTGCGCAATTGTCATCTACATCGACAGTTACTAAAATAAGATTGTAACGTGTTTAAGAGTAGGGCTTAAAGTGATTTTCGGAAAGAAGCGATTACGCATGGCGACGATTTCCATTTTGTATAAACATGATAATCGTTAAAACACGACATTATTGCTAAGACTAACGAAGAATTATAATAATAAAGTTCATAAACGATGAAATACCTTACTTAAACAAAGATATAAGAAAAAACTCCGCAGGGGTCATTTGGTAAGCGACTATTAAGTTTTTCCTAGAAGCCGTTTCAGAGCATCAAATATCTCAAACTTGCTTCATTTATGGTTATATAAGATGTTATACATTCGTACCATTTGATTTTAATTCATAATTACATAAAGACATCAATATTTTATTTTTAAATTGAAACGGATATTTTTTCTTCCGGCTTCGGGGGATGTCGATTTCGACCATCCGGGCCCGGTACCAACTTTGTCCCTCATATGAACATTTAACATATGGACATACTGACCTTTTACATTAGACACACTTGCGGGCTCCTCGATCTTTGGTCAGCAGACTCACAAGGCTTTCCGCGACAACACACATACAAGAAAGTCAAAGGACAAACACCCGTGCCCACGGCGGGACTCTAACCCGCGACCCTTGAGGCCTGACACGATCTAGCCCCCTCGGCCATCCAGGTCGGGTTTATTTGAACCCAAATTTTGATAATGACGTCCCCCATTTCAGGGGTTAGCAGGGCTGGGCGCGTACCTGGCCTTGCCGTGCAGGTCGACGCGGCCGCGCGCCAGCTGCAGCATGCCGCCGGCCATGGAGCCGTTGGCGAAGACCCTGTCGGCGGCCACCTGCACGCAGCCGCGAGCGTTGCCCGTGTGCTGCGCGAGCGCGAACAAGATGTCGGCGTCCCAGCCGCGGCGCCACCAGCCGCGCGCGCAGTCGCTGCTCGAGGAGATGTAGCCGCGCGGCATGCCCAGCCGCACCGCGCCCGCCGCTGCCACGCCACGCCACGCCGCGCCGCGTTAGCGCTCCGACGCGTCCACGACAACATCCGTGTTTCAAATACGAGGATATAACACACGGACGTTTCCCTTCCTCTTTCTTTTCTTAATTACAGTACTTAAAGGAAATACCGGTACATTTTATTGTTTCATCACTTATAACAAATATGTTAATAATAATGTTGGTAGAATGTAAAAAATCGTTTATCGAATGTAAAGGGCATTGTGTTTTGCTAATGTTCCATTTATTCACTTTCATTCATAAATCATCGAAATAAAACGACCTTTATCTAATTTACAAAATACATAATACGTTAATATTATTTTAAAGTATATTCTGCTTTAACGTAATCTGTCATCTTCTGTCTAAGGGATATTTTATGCACACAAGGTTCAAAATGCAGTTTGAAGATATTACCACGTACAAAATCATGGAAAAATAGATCGATTTGAAAAACAAACATCGAAAACAAAACATCGATGTTAATATATTGATGATTCTGATAGAAAATATCTATGTTTAATATAATCTATTATTTTATTATATCGATTATATTATTTGCCATCCCTACCTATGCAACGCGCCGTGGTTCGTAACCAGCAATAATTTATACAAAGATTGAACATGTTAACTAGGTCAGTCTATCACCGAGCAAAGTCGGGGGTATCCCACGAGACTGAGCAACATTCAACAATTAGTGAACATGTTGGACAACAGTGAACATGTGTATAGGCTAAATCGAGAGCAGTTCTGCATTTACCCTTTAGATTCTCTTAATTGTCACTTTGGTCTTGTATGCAGCTTACTAACTGTCCAAGTGAACAGACTAAAGTAAATAAGAAATAAAAAAGGTATTAACAAGTCCGTACCCGAGCCGCTTCCAGCGAGGGCGGTGAGGGGTTTGCGCTCCGCGTCGCCCATTGGCAGGGAGAGCCCAAGGGGGTGCGGCGTCGCTTCGGCCGAATCCGCTCGCGCGCTCAGCGCCGCCAACGCGACGTCAAGCAACGTCATCGCGCGGCCGTCAGTCTCCTAGCACAGCTCCCTCGCGTCGCCCGCGAATGCAGATGTGGCAGCTGGGTGTGTTGAAGTGAAAAGGAATGGTGTGCGTTAGATAAGCATTCCATTAAGCAAGCGCCCACGCTCACTGCTCTGTGGATATCGCGCTACTCTATCGACCCGCCGGAGTTCCGCGACAGCGGTATGCACTTAATGTCATCGACACTGGAGCAAACCGGACACCGTCTGAATGTCATGGCTCGTTATGCCCTGTTCGTTACAAAAAGGGTGAAGGTTGTTCAATTCCTATTACAAAAATCACTTAACTTGTGACTTCCCTCACTGATGTTTATCTAGCGCAATAACTGTTAATTAAATGACCTATATGTTCTTTACTTGAGGATACTCTAAGAGAAGATGATTTTTGAAACTTTATTAGAAACCATCCACACAAAACCCTTTAGGTGAGCTGCTCCGTAGAAAATTATACTCGAATTGTGCACCCAACACATTCATAACGATAAAAAGTCTGATCATTATGGCATAAAAACACGACTGCAACACATAAACGCACTTAGCTCGAATACGTCCCTTAAATCCAAGTTTTTTGTATCCCCAAGGGACATATGTTTTGTGGGGACATATGGGTTCTGTGGGGATTCGGATTTTGGGGGAAGATGAGAGGCAGGGGGGGTATAAAGGGAAATGAAGGAACACAGTTAGGGAACAGGTGGGATCAGTTGTCCAAATTCGGTTTCTTAAGCAGTACTCTACAAAAAGTTCTTCCACAATTCCTTCTCAACTTTCAATTACATTTTTGAAGATTTTGTTCCTGTGGGTGCTCCGACTCTATAACATGGGTGGTAGAAAAATGCAGAAAATCAAAATCTACGTATAATTAAAATGAAGGGAAAAGACAAATAATTTTTCGCGTTGAAATTAAAGGGACAGTTTTCTTTACTGTGCAATTCAATATCTATGTTTAGCTGTATTAGGATGGTTACTCTTGCATAGAATCGGGAGAGATGGCTCAGAGCAACTACTGATGTCACTGCAGTCCCTCTGACCGGGAGGTCCTAGATTCGAGTCCCGACACTAGTTTGTCAGATAGGTCGAATTCAGTCTCTGCCTGGCGGATCTTCTAGCAGCCGGCTGCTCTGATCGGTAGTTTTCCGTGATTTCTCCTATCAACACCAGGCGAATGCCGGAGCAGAACCCTACCAAACGGGCGACGGACCGCGCGCGATCTTTCCTACATCTTCCTTGTCATATCCTCTCCCCTTACACGCACCTACACAAGCGCACATGCCAGGAGGACAAGCGGGAGCTTAAATCGTGTCCCGGCTGGGACGGCGCCCCGGTCGTGGAAGATACCTGCTAGGGGAAAGCGGTGTATTTTTCTTTCAATTTCTGCGCCTTTCGGAAATTAGTAATAGATGCTTGTGTACATATATTAGATTTTTTACTGCAATGTGTCTACCCCATGTTCGCCTGGCAGTCAGGGGACCAATCAGTCCCTCATTGTACTCGCAATTTCTGTCTCTGTGGGGGTCAAAAGAAAGAATTTTATTTCACTTTGAAAGCAACAAATAACTGAATAACTTTAAATTGTTTTATAATCATGGAAATATACTTTCAGAGCCCCTTCTCTCGGCTTTGAGAGGCACGTTCAAAAGCAGCAACAGTGTATTTCCTACGTGGAGTGAATTCTGAGGATGTCACTGAACAGTGAAATATTTTGAAGAGGAGTAAGTGAATTCACAAAGATTTATGCTGGTGAGAAATTTAACATTTAACATCTGGCCCACAGCCTCCTCTGTTTGCAAAAGGAATGCGGTTGGATATAACTGGGTTGTCCCATCTCTCGTGGCGTCACCCTTTAGTACAACTGGCTTTCCACCAATCTATTCAAACATTCGAGTGTGTTTGTCATAGCCAAATACAATGTTATATCCCAACACGAGCCGTTAAAGGGCGAATTTTATTTTTATAGCTTTTAGGACGCTTTCATCGTTTTGGATTTTCCTACTAGAAACAATTTTGGTATGTTTTTATGGCCTGATCTCTTTCCTATTAACTCCACTATTGATTTACGCATTCGGCTACAAATCACGGGTCACATGCTTTTGTTTTGTTAGAATTTATATTCCTTCGTGTAACAGAAATAGTTTCTTTAAATTTTTAGAACAGACCCAGTGATTTTCAAGATGTCTAATTCAATTTTTGTAATTGCTTCAATGCTCTCATATTACGCAAATATGCATGAAAGAACATTCGTATTGGCGTCGTGAAACAAATGATTCGCCTCTCCGTTATCTACTACTAATTTCCCACCCCGAAACGATACATCAAAATTCAACTTCGTCACGGAATGAGGCAAGGTGCACGCAAATTAGAAACCTCATTCAGTGCAGTTCAAACTAGCTCTGACAAACGACGGTGCTGATAAAATCGTAGTCCAGAACACAAGCCATAAACAGAACTGAAACGGAGTTGTCATGACAACAAATATGTAATTTTAGGCTCAAATTTTATAATTACAAGCAGCCTAATATTAGAAGGCGCAAAGAACGTCAGAAGAATTCTAATTCGAAACAATTTGGTGTATAATGAAACAAAATGATCGTGCATAGATGACTTCATTAATACATAAAATATTGCTATAGCATTGTTAGATTTACTTTCTCGAACACAATGTAAGTGTACCCCATTATTTTTTGACATTAACCAAATTATTACTATTTTTCAGTATTTAAAATTTTTGGATAACCATTTATTTCACGGATGAAATAGCATTTATAATTTAATTTTATATTACTGTATCAAATTCAGTTTTATTGAAAAATGTTTTAATATAAATAAAAACGCCAGTTAACTGACATTTTGTTTTGAACTAAAAATAATTTTCATGTGGGTACTATTATTTATTTCATTCGAATTCGCAATGCAATCAACATAAACATTCTACCGTTAGTTGACATAAAATACACAAAATAGTCAAGAATTCGCCAAAACTTCGGGGCAGGGCTCTCTGCAGTCTTCAGCAGACAAATGAATGAATGAGAAGAATGTATATAATGAAACAAGTATGATGTGTGGATGTAGAGAAAAAAACCTCACCTATATAATACGAACAATTTCGCTAGTTAATTAGTTAAGAACTCGTCTTAGTGTGTTAGGAATACAAAGTGCAGGTAATTTATATAACTTAAGATTTAGAATATTAAACTTAATAATTAAGACAAAGACCGTCCCGTAGCTGCTTAAGCCGCAAGGTAGCAGCTTAATGTTTCCCCGTCTCCACAGGGTCACTGTGGAGGAGCAGAAGAAAAACAAAACCTCTCCGCGGCGACGCGGCGGCGGCGGCGGCGGCGGTGGCGGCGGCGCGACGGAAGAGGCGGAGACAGGGTCGGCCGTTTCGCGACCCGCGCGCGGTTTATGGCCCAGAAAGGGTCCTCGGCGGCGGCCCCGCCCACTTCCTTCCTTGGGCCGCTAATGAAGCGCCCGCCCTCGCCGCGCGCCGTAATGAGATGAACTATGAACCCGCGCACATGTGGCCGGCGCAAGGGTAGGGGCGGCGGACTGCTGAGAATGTCTG